TGAAATATGGCTTGGAAATGTAGTTTTATGGTTGCTAGGGTGCCCTAAGTGGTTGCTAGGGCGTGACCATGAAGTTATTATGTCACTACTTATTGGCTTCTTGATAGGCCGAGTCAAAAGAGCCCAACCCCAAGTCTCTATGACCTTCTGTTCAAAAGATATGATCTCACAAATTTTGTGACAATGTTAAGTCTATGGGACTTTTTTACCCAATGATTTGCCCCTGGGGCGAACACCGTACCCCTGATCGCTAAGAAAAATCATACCACACCTCTCCTCAATAATCCGCACAATTTGACGCCTCAATCAGGGGTGTGTGATGTCGGCGTGTATTTTTTAACAGATAATTACTGTGGAGTTTTTATTTGGAGTTTTTATAGAGTTTTATAGAGTTTTTATAGAGTTATTTAGTATGGCACGAGGCCTGCGGCCTCGTGCCTATCACCCACGGTTGCTAGGGTGCTGTAACTGGTTGCTATGGTGTGGCTTTGAAGATTTTAGGCCATTACTTATTGGCTGCTTGATAAAATAAATCCTCTGAGGGAGAGAGAGAGGGCCTGACAGCAGGGCTGTCAGGCCCTTTTCTGTGGATGTGTGTGAAAGTGGCAGTTTGGATTTGAATTTTTGAAAATTCCGCAATGTTAAGTCAATGGGACTTTTTTGGCCGCTTTTTCGTTCGCTGTGCGAACATCGTACACCCGATCTCTTAGAAAAGTCATAGCACACCTCTCCTCAATGAGCCGGTCGATTTGACGCCTCACTCAGGTGTGTGTGACAAAAGCTGCGGGAGGAGTAGCGCGCCAAACTTTGTGTGGAATAATAAGAATAATAAGTATGCACAATAACACTAGTGTTGCTTTGCCTTTGGCAAGCACCACTAACTAGAAAAAGTTCGTCGAGACAAACTTTAAGTTGGCTTGTGAAAGTTTGGACCGCAAAGTTTGAAGAAGTTTAAATTAGTTTGAAGTTTAAATTAGTTCAAAGTAGTTTATAGTTTAACTTAGTTTAAAGTTTAAAGTAGTTTAAATTAATTTAAAGTTTAAATTAGTTTGAATTTTAAAGTAGTTTGAAGTTTAAATTAGTTTGAAAGTTAAAGTAGTTTAAAGTTTAAATAAGTTTGAATTTTAAAGTAGTTTGAAGTTTAAATTAGTTTAAAGTAGTTTAAAGTTTTAAATAGTTTAAAGTTCAAAGTAGTTTAAAGGTTAAAGTATAGTTTCAAGTAATTAAATGTTGCTAGGGTGTTTCTAGTGGGTTGCTAAGGTGTTGTGGGTGGTTGCTAGGTGGTTTCTAAGGTATTTTGAGTGGTTGCTAGGGTGTTCTGGGTGGTTGCTAGGGTGTTCTAGGGTATTTTAGGTGGTTGCTATGGTGTTGCTAGGGTGTTTTAAGGTATTTTGGGTGGTTGCTAGGGTGTTGTTAGGGTGTTCTAAGGTATTTTGGGTGGTTGCTATGGTGTTGCTAGGGTGTTCTGAGGTATTTCGGGTGGTTGCTAGGGTGTTGCTAGGGTGTTCTAAGGTATTTTTGGTGGTTGCTAGGGTGTTGCTAGGGTGTTCTAAGGTATTTTGGGTGGTTGCTATGGTGTTGCTAGGGTGTTCTAAGTTATTTTGGGTGGTTGCTAGGGTGTTCTAAGGTATTTTGGGTGGTTGCTAGGGTGTTGCTAGGGTGTTATAAGGCATTTTGGGTGGTTGCTAGGGTGTTCTAAGGCATTTTGGGTGGTTGCTAGGGTGTTGCTAGGGTGTTCTAAGGTATTTTTGGTGGTTGCTAGGGTGTTGCTAGGGTGTTCTAAGGTATTTTGGGTGGTTGCTATGGTGTTGCTAGGGTGTTCTAAGTTATTTTGGGTGGTTGCTAGGGTGTTCTAAGGCATTTTGGGTGGTTGCTAGGGTGTTGCTAGGGTGTTCTAAGGTATTTTGGGTGGTTGCTAGGGTGTTGCTAGGGTGTTCTAAGGTATTTTTGGTGGTTGCTAGGGTGTTCTGGGTGGTTGCTAGGGTGTTCTAAGGTATTTTGGGTGGTTGCTAGGGTGTTCTGGGTGGTTGCTATGGTGTTGCTATGGTGTTCTAAGGTATTTTGGGTGGTTGCTAGGGTGTTGCTAGGATGTTCTGATGTATTTCGGGTGGTTGCTAGGGTGTTGCTAGGGTGTTCTAAGGTATTTTGGGTGGTTGCTATGGTGTTGCTAGGGTGTTCTAAGGTATTTTGGGTGGTTGCTAGGGTGTTGCTAGGGTGTCATAAGGCATTTTGGGTGGTTGCTAGGGTGTTCTAAGGTATTTTGGGTGGTTGCTAGGGTGTTCTGGGTGGTTGCTAGGGTGTTTCTAAGTTATATTATGTGGTTGCTAGGGTGTTTTAAGGTATTGTGGGTGGTTGCTATGGTGTTGCTAGGGTGTTCTAAGGTATTTCAGTTGGTTTCTAGGGTGTTCTGGGTGGTTGCTATGCAGTTGCTAGAGTGTTCTGGGTGTTTGCTATGGTGAACTATTTATGAGTTTAAAAGTTCATAAGTGTATGAATTCATGAGAGTTCATACGTGTATGAATTAATGCATTTATAAGTTCATGAGTTTATAAGTGTATGAATTTATGAGTTTAGAGTTTATAAGTTTAAATGAGTAAGAGTTCAGAGTTTATTAATTTATGAGTTTGAGTTCATAAGTGTATGAATTCATGAGTTTATAAGTGTATGAGTTTATAAGTGTACGAGTTTATGAGTTTAAAGTTTAAATTAGTTTGAAGTTTAAAGTTTAAATAAGTTTGAAGTTTAAAGTTTAAATAAGTTTGAAGTTTAAATTAGTTTGAAGTTTAAAGTTTAATTTAGTTTGAAGTTTAATTTAGTTTAAAGTAGATAGATAGATGGATAAGTGTCATAGATAGATGAGTTTATGAGTTTGAATGAGTCTCATTGGCTCATATAGTGTATAGAATGGCAGTTTGATTCAGTCTAGGGTTTCAAGGGATTTACATTTGAATTTTTGACAGTTGGGGAGTTTGAAAATCTGAAGATTCCGCAATGTAAAGTCAATGGGAGTTTTTTCCGACTTTGATCGTCATTTTTAGGAAAACCGTAAGTCCGATCAGTTAGAAAAGATATAGCATACCGAGTCAGAACAGTTTGAGTGTCCGTGCCGAGTTTGGAGTATGTGGAGTTAAAGCTCTAGGAGGAGTAGCAGTTGTAAATTTTGAGTAAGAAGAATAATAATAATAATAATAATAATAAGTTTAAATACAACATCAGTAAGTTGGCTCTCACAAGCCAACTTAATAATAATAATAAGTTTAAATACAACATCAGTAAGTTGGCTCTCACAAGCCAACTTAATAAGTTTAAGTACAATATCAGTAAGTTGGCTCTCACAAGCCAACTTAATAATATGTTCTACTTTTTTTCTTGAATTTTTTCCTGATGATATATTTGCAAAATACCCATAGCATTATAATATTTTATTAATTTACATGACTTTTCCAGGTCTATAAATCACACTTTTACATGGCTTCCCCATCCAGGATTTCCAGGACTGTGTTTCAGAGGGGTGAATTAAAGTAAGTCATATCTTGATTTTAGCTGTTTCGGCTTATTTTAATGCTCGTTATTTTCTGCTTTAAATTATTTTAAGTCTTGAGGCCTTTTAATTGTTGAGGAAGTCTGCTGAGCCCCCCTGGTTGAGAACCACTGTTTTAATGCATTCACATGCACAACCAAGCATCTGCTGCGAGTGTCATATAAATATCAGCGCACATTGTTTTAGTAAATAAAACAAAACTGTCGTTTTCAATATTCAAATACGACGTTCTCGTTTCGAAAACCGTGTTTTGACTGCGGCTGATGAAACGACCGCAACTCGAGATTACGAAATAGCCGCGCGTCGCTTGTAGTTCCAACCAATTCCGCTAGAGGGCGACTGCTGCTCGCAGTACGGATTGCACCAAGCACTTAAACGAGGACAAAAATATGTATTTCTACATTGTTATGATGTTCATTTTTATGGACTAGCTATGTATACCAACTCTCATTGACACACTTAAACTACTTTGGTGGTTATTAATGGAGGAAAGCGATTAAAAGTAAAGTTAGACGAACAAGTTCAGCTTTTCCTTGTTTTAAAAGAATCTCGCTAAATCTGTGCTTTTAAAGAGGGCGGATAATCGCGATGACAAGTTAAAACGTACATACTCACAAATGATTAGTTTTCGAAGAAGAAAGTCTCTATTCAAGCACGTTATCGTTCGTATACAGTAGGCAATAGTGTTTTAACGTTCTTGACCTGTCGTGTGTCTTAAATCAAAATATTGTCAAAATATCAGACTGTACAGTAACGGTGCCCCGCAAAGATCACCCAAAAGCTCGTCTGGTTTAATACAAAACGTTTGTTTTGATATTTCAAGTGATGTCTGAATTTATTCTGGCCATAAATAAAGTGCAATGCGCGAGCGCCCATTATTAGCATTCGACTGACACACAAAATGGCGGAGGATAGCAAAGGGCCGCCGACACGTCTAAAGTATGTAAATTATAACAGTTTTCTGGTCTGATTCACATCGCTCGGACCTTCAAATAACACGGGAAGGCCAAGTGTACAACTTGTTTTATTAAAACGCAATGTTTTCCCCTCCGTCAACAAACTCCTTACTTTCCCCTTGTCACGGAATGTCGTTAGCCCGACTGATAGCCCGGCTAGCTGTAACATTAGCAGGGCAGCCTACAATAAACCAAATCAACAGTTTCACGTTCATATCCAAAAGAAAAACATTTCACGAGGTACTTTGAATGAGTTGTCATTTATCAGTATATAACCATAATAACTCGGGTGCATGCAGACCCGGGGAAATAACAAATTGCATGCTTTTAGTTTCTTCTGCACAAACTTGACTTCTAATTATCTTTACGGTTTTTGAACCTCGTTGAAAATAGTCGCAATGGTTGAAAATTGTTAAACAAAAAACGCACTCTATATTCGTATCGTTGTTCACTGCGTGGGTGACGACATTAACGTCATATTTATTGATAAACGTGCAACTCACCTCGTTTCTCTCTTAACTCTTATTTAGACCTGGATGGTGGCGTTATTGCGCATGCGCCGGTTAATATGTGTCTGTCCAACTTCTACAGCCCCGATAAACTTTACCACAGCATATATTTGTGAGTGATTATCTTAATGTAACGGAGAATCAGAGGAACTGAGCCTTATAGCGTCCTTACATGACCCCAGCACTGACTTGTTTCATACCCGTTTCAATCGGTGCTTGTTGCGCTAAAACAATCGAAGGCCTTATTATTACAGATATAGAAAATGGTTTTGATCCCCCTTACGTTTTTACGCTCTTTAAACAAAAAGAGAGCGCTTTGTAGTGTTCAAACGGGGTCACAAATTATTCCATTTTAATGGAGTCTTAGTGCGTGCTCACTGAAACGAGCTGTTTTCAGAGTGTGATTTTTGTATCTGTTCAGTTTACAGTCATTGTAGCGGTGATCCTCTGATTTGATTTCCTGTAACCATCACGTGTTCAGGTTTTACTCCGCAAATCTCTTTTGAAGGGCATACTTCGCCATATGCAATAAATAAAGAAACGCAGCGCTTATTCATAAAACAACACTGCGTCGAGCTTCAAACTGAAGTTCGTAATATTTAAATACAATGTTTTGACAGCCGCATTGTTGCAAAAGTGGCGAAAAGGAAGACGGCGAATTTAGTGAAGACGCCACAAGATGGCGCTGTGAGCTTAAAAGTGGAGGTTTCTTCCTAGACTCGAGGTTGGCACGTTGTTTGCAAGTAGGTCTGAGGCAGATACAGGAAGCAGAAATTTGGCATTTATACAAGTAAAGTAGTGGGAAATTATACATGTAAATGATCTGTGGATGACAACTGTGTTTTTCTTTGTGACCCATGTCTCGATTACAGTATAGCTATTAGCGCGAGTGCCCAACTGTGATTGTTTGTGATACCTTATTTTTTAAAGCACGTTAATAAGCTACATAGACTTTCATAATAAAACATATTCAATAACCGCGCATTAGCTTATAATAATTTAATTGTTTCCATTCCAAAAATTAGACATTCTTTACCGATCAGACAATTTCATTACAAACACTTACCAATCCCATCTTAATACTGTACACAATTACATACATTCAGATTTAATATTCTTTCAGTCTCACAACTTAATATCTCTTTTATAATCAAGCATCTGATGCAACCTGTAGTCTCACTTCATCTCATTACAATATAGTAGTCAGAACACCATTAAACATTGTACTTCTTTACAAATAGTTTTTATCAAATAGGGCTAAAAAATAATTAAATAAGATGAATGTTAGGAAAACACAGTCACTTTTGATAGAAACTCTGTAGTCATGTTGCAAAAGCATTGGTCCAGCTAACATAAAAAATGAACTTAAGTTAAAAATCATTAGAAACATGTTCCGACAAAATTTATTGGTCTGACAAAAAATTTGTCTTAATGTCCATGAGTCAGTGAGAAAATGTTTTCATTGGTGTAGGTGAAGCCAGGAAAGGTTGCTCCAGACTCCTCACATGCTCCTAGCGAGTGTGGAACAGGAAGTTCTGTAAACCGAGGGTCAATGTTCGTGAGGTCACCAGGGCCAGACTGAAATGTAAACAAATACAAATTAATATCTATGAAATAAGCTCATACCTGTAAGCACATCATTTACTCACACTCACATTTTTTTTCTTCTGTGGAACACTAACAAAATATATTTAGAAAGTACTTTTTTTCTGTATAATGAAAATTTGGATGCCATTGACTTTCATTGTGTGGACAAAAAAAAAAAACTTCAAAATATCATCTTTTGTGTTCCACAGAAGAAAAAAGTTATACTGGTTTAAAAAGTAATTTTTTTTAGGTGAACAATCCCATTAAAGACAAATGTGTCAATAAAAAAACTCACCAGTAAGGGAACAAAAGGTGGAGAAATTTTCATTGTAACAAGGTCATCCCAATGAATAGATGAGAAGAATGGATGAGACTGCAGCTCGGTCTAAAAGCCAAAAAAAGGGGCAAAATGACATTTAGCCACTCTTTCTTTTAGCAAGATAAACCAATTTCAGATTGTGTGATTGTTCGTGAATGTGTCTGTGTGCTTGTTGGATTACCAGGTCACGTTTGGCTCCTAGTCTCTTCGCCCTCTCCCTGTTTAGCAGTCTCTTCAGCAGATCTCGGCCTGCACTAGACACTCCCGGTTTTAGAACCAGAGGCTGATAAATAATATTCCTGAGCATATCAAGACGATCTGCACTGTAGAAAGGTGGCTGGAATGAGAAAGAGTTTGTGTAAAACACACCTGTCTACCTGTATTATTTATCTATCTGAGCATTCATTGGTGGGTTTGTTTACCAGGCCGTAGAGCATTTCATGGAGAACAGCGCCCAGACCCCACCAGTCCACAGTCCTGTCATACTCCTTCTGCAGGAGGACCTCAGGTGCTAGGTACTCCGGGGTTCCACAGAAGGTTCTGGTGGTGCCATGTCCACTCACGCCCTCCTTGCACAGGCCAAAGTCGGTCAGAACCACATGACCCACAGAATCCAGCAGAATGTTTTCTGGTTTCAGGTCCCTGTGAGCATGTGAGAAAGATGGTTTACTGTAAATCTGGTGAAAGTTGGTGATCATTTTGTTCTTACTAAGCACAAACGAATGAGCTTATCAGCATTATACAGGCACAGATATTTCAGAAGAGTGTTGTTACCTATAGACAATCTTCAGGGAGTGTAAGTATCCTAAAGCACAGGCAATCTCAGCAGCATAAAATCTGGCTCTGGGTTCTCCAAACACCCCCTCTCTCTGCAAATGGTAAAAGAGCTGCAAAAATGAAAAATAGACATTCATTAACACAATAATACATACAACATAGTATTATTTGGACTTTTGTATCATATAATTTATATGAATATTTGATAAATTGTTCTGTCACTCAGAACAGTGATTCTCAACCTTTTTGACTTCTCAACCCCACGCTGTCCAACACAATATTCAAAGTATGAACAGAACTATAAAATAATAATTTTAACTAAAATGTATTATTTACACTGGGATACTGGGAGTGCCAATATAGGTCAAATTAATTAACCTCAATTAATTTAGTTCTTTAATAAAAAACAATAAATAGGAAAGAAAAAAAATTCAGATCTTTTTAATTAAGTTTGATGTTTAAATATATGAATAATATGAATATTAATTATATTTATAATAATATATTAATTATATTGGAATAATATATTAATTATCCCTTGGAAGTTTGCTGAGACGCCTATTGGGCTCCGACCCCCTGGTTAAGAACCACTACTTTGGCTTTTGGCTTGCTTAGTTGGGGACATTTAATATTCAACAATATTACTGATCTGCCTTACTTCAGGTGGACGATGACGCAATTTTCTTCTAGAAACAAACTTCTTGTATTATTTTCATGTTATCACTGTGAAGCTGCTTTGATACAATCTGTATTGTAAAAAGCTCTATATAAATAAAGGTGACTTGACTTGACTTGACTCAAAAAAGTTCAATTTCAGTCAGACTAAAACAATAATTCATCTTTTTTAAATGTCCTGTAAATGCAGTTTTTCCTGAAATTGCTACAGTCTGGTTTTGCGAAGACGGACTAACAGATCTAAATAACGTGACTGTAGGCTTCGTCCACTACAATTGGCCTCAGAGTTGTGTTTTTTCTTAGTAACTTTTCGATTTGATATTCAATTACACATTGTATATTCAGACAGAGAGATAAGAACTATGCGAAAACCAGCCTTAGCTCAATTATAACTTTATTATTAGTATATTATAAACTACTATAACTATATTATAAAAATATCTGATAATTTGACAATAATCCTGTTATTGGCCTCTGACTTAAACCTTTGATCTGGATTCATCTCTATAAACAAGTCCAGATTCAAAGCTGTGTACTTGATTGTGTTTATATACCTACTTAACTATATTTCAGGGCCGAATATGTACTTAGAACGAAGTGAGCTAAATCTGACAAAAAAATACGTTTGGAGTCCTCATTTAAATGGTATAGAAATATAGTACATAAAGTTTTGTTAATTGTATAAAAGCCAACGTTTTCTGTTAGGGTTAGGGTGTGATTTAGGTTTAGATAGCTAAGTAAACATACCTCTCCTCCACATGCATAGTCCAGCACTAGATAGAGTCTGTCCTTGGTCTGAAAGCTGAAGTGGAGCTTCACCAGGAATGGATGATTAAGAGTCTTTAACAACACCCTGTGCTCACACATGACATTTCTTTCCTGTAAAAAAACAACACAATTAATACATACAGACACGTTATGAACCAAAAAATTATAGTAATATACTCATAGTCATACTCGCCTCTTTCCTTGTTAAAATAATGTGTTTCTGTAGGACTTTGACTGCGTAGAATCTGCCATTTTCCCTGAGTGTGGCCAAGAACACCTGAATAGACATTCAGGAAGACATTCAAACCAGGTTTAAACAATATTTATACATTATAGAAAATACAATGCAGAGTGGGCCTTGCCAAACATTATACCTTGCCAAAGCTTCCCGTCCCGATAACCTTCAAGTAGTCAAAATCAGCAGCAGATACCCTAAAATCATATAGAAATAAATATTTATTATGTGTAATTGTATGTGTTTGTGTCCATAGACTGATAGTTGAGCACCCCACTTACCGAGATTGTGGCTCTTCTGTTAATGGATTACTGTAACAAACCTAGGAAATAGATTGGGGAGAGAGTCAGCAGCTTACTCCAGTGACATATGAAACCATACCACAGATCACTTCACTTCCTGTTACATCTATAGATTACTCAGGTCAACCAGTACAGCAACTCAAATCAGTGCAGCTGGCTTGACGTTATGTTTCTGAAAGGACTGGAGACCTTTATTAATACTTTAAGTAAGATATTGCTAATCTGTAGTAAGAAACCCCAGGACATACACGTGGACATGAGCTTGTTAAAGTTCACTTACAGCTGCTGCTCCGTCATCCTCAGAAAGACTACCCTCAGGTCGCAAGAAATCCATCCTGGAATGAGAGAAACCATGTCAGAGAAATGCAGCTGATTTTAACAAATGAAAATCTTCAGTTCTAGCTATTTTCTTATAAAATTGCCCGAAAGTCAGCCAACACCTATGCAACAG